ATTGATAGGGGTCAACTATCATCGATTAATGAATCATGTTTGTCTCAGGGCGGTTCGACAGGATTTAACAGTGCAGAATATGAAGGACGAGTTTACTCGATCGGTTTATGAGGCAAACGCTAGATGGGCCTTGGAGGCAGAGGACTTGGGACAGTTCAATCAATGTCAAACTCAGCTGAAGTACTCATGATAACCAGCAGCAGCAGCATGAGCATTCTATTTCATATCTCTTTCTAGATATCTTTATGCTGCGGAAGGAGCGAATGATGACAACGTCACTTGTGAATTCCTCTGTTATCGACTTCTGTGAGTGAATGAGCACTATTCGCAGATATGTTATCAATTTCGTGGCGCGTGACAGATACTATTCCTTGCAGTCTCTGCGAGCGGATGAAATGAAGTTCCTTAGGATGCTAACTTCGGAGCAGCGTCATCATCCCTACGTTGTGTTCGCGAAGAGGATTCGACAAGCTATGGCAACCAATGATTATAAAGCATGTTTTCGGTAGGACTATGCATATCAGCGTATGCGAACGACATCTTCTTCCCATTCTGGTCGCCATATTCATCTGTTGCTCATCATTCACTGTTCATCGAATATGGTCATCATCAGTAGCTAACATTAGAGGCTTGGACTAAACACTGATACAGGAAGTGCCTCTCTATTTCTCGCGAGTTGTGATGCTCTTCTTTCATCATGTTCCATCCCTGCTGGAATTGTCTGGAATATGGTCTGATTGTGGAGTAGTGGTCTTCGTGGTGATTAGGCTAGTGAGGATAGCTCGTCGTGAATCATCTGAGGTTGATCATGATGATGAGGAAGATGGGGAAGATTCCACACCACGTTCAATACCAACAAGGGCGGCCCCGACTCATGCCTACCACCTATTGAGGCTCTTCCTACAACGTTTGCGTCTGAAGGCATTACGTACAATCACCAAAGCGTGAGCTCATTAAAGCGTATCTTACGCACAGCGAAGGTTTTCTTAACAGATACCAAACATATCCTGTCGGCCATCTTGTTGAAGTACTTGACTTCACAGATGTGAAAGATGCTTCTACTTGGCTGATTGAACATGGTAAGTACAATCTTCTATCAACCGCGCTCGGCCGTCCGATTGATTAGTAGTGTCTATTGTTCAGGACTGACACTTAAAACCTGGTCTGATGGTGAAGCGCACATTCAGTGCAAGCCTAGTCATGCAGCTATTTGCAATCATCCTGTGAGAAAGCGCTCGCCCAGTTGATCGATTTGATGAATAATTCTCTCAGGCATTGGTTTCTCGAAAACACACGATGATGGGATAGCGATTGTCTCCTATTGTTGTATCATTAGCGGTCTCCTACGCGAATTATATGATGTTATTATTAAATACTCAATGGGGGCAGGCAGGGAGCGAACCAGGGATCTCTCGCTTCTCAGTCTCTGGCATACTCAATGTCCCTTCATCGAAGTGCAACAGTGATGAGGGTTAGTCGGCCACTACTCGACCGAATGGAGCGCATCATGCATTACAAGAGCGACTACTATCCTAATCTCCCACAGTCGGAACATAAAGTTTGGCAAAACCCTGTAAATCGATCACGCGATCGATTGTCTGAATTATTGTACCTCTCAGGGAAGTCGTCCACCTTATCACCTGAAGCATCCCAAGCAGTACTTTGATTTCAAAACATTCCGAAATATGTTAAAGCATAAGAAACAAACCATGGGTCGAGCCGAGAAAAGAATAATCAAACGAGTTTATGCGAAGCCACCACCCAGCGATGACTGGGACGTTCTAAGGTGTGGAATAATGCTTGGTTGGAATCATATCAGTTTGGGGTGTATAACATGGAACCATTGCTGATATTTGACGCAAATGATCCGATGAGATTTTCCGAGCAGTATGATATGTGCTCTTACCGCTGCAGATTCCTACAAGAGATGGAATTTGGTGAGAATGCCGAGGAGGTTGCCTCATGTTTCGAAGATTGGTCGGACTTCATATCTTCCGATTATGAGGATGTCCAACGTGTGGTGAGTTCTTATCATATCCTGTTCTATCAGTCTGTTCCCTCTCGTAGGAGATGGCCCCGGAGCAGCGCAGGAAACTACTCGTGTATTTACGCAAATTCAACCATGGTGTTTGGCCAATTGAAGAATATCAGGAGCGGTTCAAGGTTGGCAAACGACAGCGTCCTCCGATCCACGTGTTTTCGACCTATTAGGGAACTCCGTTGGAAAATGAAGGGAAGCCCTGGACGGAAGAAGACGATAAGAAGCTCGTCGAGTTGGCGGAGGTTTATGATATCAATTTCGGTGACCCCTGGATATATCTCAGGTTAGCTCTCCAAAGAGTTGGGTTCTCTATGACTCTCTCATCTGAATGATCAGTTGGGAGCTCCAACGGCCGAGAGAGGACGTTATAAACCGGTATATGACGAAGGTTAAGTTCCCTCAACAACGTCTTTCGAAATGCGAACTTGCCATCACCAAATCAGCTCGTCCTTTGATGATGAGCCGAAGATTCCCGGTTCGGAGTCTTTACGTTCAGACTTGTTATAGTACGTGTGTTATTTTGTTAGTTACTGGCACCGACATGTTACGTTATTCCAACGGAAAAGAATTTCCGACTTGTTGACTCGTCAAGTGGATATCAACTGCCTGCCAACTTTAGACGTTTTAGACGCTCTGAGTGCTTCTGAGATATCATGTGTGCGAGCAACACGTTTCTGAGGTCGATTGGATTGCGTTCGTACATTTAGGGATAAAACGCAGAGCACTATCTGTCGGTAAAACTTTGAATGAAGGGGTACATCTTCATGCGGTTTGGGAGCCTTCATTCAGATGAGGGAATACTGTAGAAGGTGTTAACTCAGTGATGAATGAGAGTTACAAACTGAAATCCTACATGACTACGGCAAATATCATAATTGTTCAGTGAGTAAGATTTGAATTGAATCCGCAACGCATATCGGAGGATAAGGCCAGTTTCCAAGCTGTCGGAGGGGTCTTCTTCATTTGACCCGCCAATTCATTCTCCCTCAGGACATCTGGAAGATAGTATGAAACGAGTGCAACATGGTCTCGTGGCCTAATGGATAAGGCGTTGGTCTTCGGAACCAAAGATTGTGGGTTCGAGTCCCACCGAGATCGTTAGTTTTTCGTCATGTCTATTGCTGAACTATCGCATACTCGTATCGTATGGTCTCATGACCTTGTATATCTCGGTCTCCTTCGGTACGTCATTGATATCGCCTAAGTCACCATTAGATCATCATGCAAGAAGGAATTACTTCACTGTGTAAGTTCGCACCGACCCTGCTCTCTGTCCCATATGCCGGAACAAGAGGCGTCAGACATATTCCTACTCTTCTCCCCATCTAGAGCACATCCCGAAGCACTCTTGGAACTGCTCGTACTACTTGAGAGGACTTACATGCAAAAGGCATCCTCGATGGGTATATGATCCTAGAGGGTCCTTTGACATAACCCACCTCAAAGACCTCTCACGCTCTGCAACGGATTTTTTTAGTTTCATTTTGGACGCAAGTAGCGATGGTTTACGTTAGATGAGTATGCTCAGATCGGCTCACATCGGCAGCTCTTTCCCGGAATTTCACTCTGCCAGCAGCTTGACGAAGCATTAACGTTATTTCTCTGTTACAATCTTGCCGAGGCCCAAGTATGATGTGAGTAAACTTGGACTGACGGTTTTATATAGCGGGTCACCTATAATTCAGTATAATTGTGTAACGGTTCGTGGTCGATTTTGCTAATACATATTGGTATTTCTCTTATGCTTAGAACTCATAATATTCGAAGTTCCAAACTCCCCATCCTTAAGTTACTTGAGTTACAACATCTTCCCGTTTTGAATTTTCAGAACCAATGACACTGTCCGCTCCGACTACAACACTACCTACGGTAACTAGGGACGTCGAACCCAAGACTTGAATAAGCACGAGCACGAACGTGTTACAACGTGTGTAACTATCATGAGGCCCGCTGGGCATTACAACTACTACGGTTTAGGTCTACCAACGCATGGAATACAGTACGGTCGTATCACACTGAATCATGATCAATACACTCTACGACGGCGACGTGGCACGCCAATTCAAAAAACTAATTGATGCGACAAGGATAAAAAGTGAGAGCAAATCAATTTATCGACCAACAGGCTGACATGAGGGGATCGATAACAAGGCCGACTGTGAATAGCCACCAGTGAGGGTCTCTCCCTTGACTAAAGAGCACTGGAGAGGCTCAGATAACGAGAATCCAGTGGCGCACAGCGGCTCACAAGATCGATCCGAGAGAGTCGTCAATTCAGTCTTACCAACACATCGCCACGATAACCATTCATCCATGGTCAAATAGTCAACATCATCATCACCATAAGCATCAATCGGACTCTTCCCTGATGCCGTAAGACCCATACCAGCAGTTTCCAACTCTTCCAATGAGAGAAAACCATCATTATTGGTATCAACGGATTTGAATACATTAGATAGACCAGCAGTAGTGTACTGTGGGAAAACGTCGGGGATACCAGTGTAAACATCAACCAGATTCTGGCCCGACGAACAAATCACATCGCTCAGTATCGGATGGTAGATCGTTGACATAAATCCAAATAATGCACTCGATGTGAGAGCAGCAAAGATTAGAGTGAAAATCCAAGCGACAATTATCTTACCAAAAAGGCCCCAATTGACACTCTCTCGACCATTCTTCTCACATAGTCCAACACCAATAGTGGAGCCGACCATACAATGAGTTGTTGACAATGGTATACCAAGGTTAGAGCCAACAAGAATGACCCAAGCCGAGCCAAGCTCAATACAAGCTCCTCTAGCTGGACTTACCTTAATAAGACAACAACCAACAGTTCTGATAACATTATAACCATACGTTAACAGTCCGATGACAATACCAGCACCACCAAATAAGAGGATCCAAAAAGGAATGTCAACCTTGGAAACGACATCAGCAGTTTGCCAAGTACCCCATATAGAAGCAATAGGACCGATAGCGTTGGCAACATCATTAGCACCATGGCTCACCGAGGCAAAGGAGGCACTAACAACTTGTAGGATATTGAAAGTCTCCTCAGCCTTCGGTGGGAACACCTCCGCATTGTCGTGTATAACAGCAACATTATCATCACCGTCGCGTGCCTCAGAATGTAGATCTCTATTATAACCAAACTTTTTCGTCTGTACCACACTCTCTGTAGAAACCACACCTTCTTCTTCACTACCCGACGCAGTGCCCTCACGAGTAGTCGGGGCGGTAGCCGGTAATGGTAACTCAGCAATTTCCGGCGCGGATCTAATCCGACGTTTGACCAAACGATAGGTCGCGATGTACGTTACGAAGGCCAGAATAACGCCAATACCAACAGCGATCAATGCCGCGAACACTGGGTGGTCAGACACAAATGATTTCAGCTGTTTTTGAGAGTTCTTGAACATAATGAACATACACACGCTGATGAAGACGATGAGGAGGAGTAGCGGGTAAAAACGGTAGGAATATTTGGCAGCCTTCTCACCCTTGCGTAATATAAAAGTTCTGATTAACAAGAACCAGAAGCCACCAACAACTGCTGCTAAGAATGGTGATGTTATCCACGATACAACAACCATCAAGATCGAGAACCAATCAACAGCGTCATAACTCACGGACATACCAACACCGATCAGTCCTCCTATGATGGAATGCGTAGTCGATACAGGAAACGACATGACTGTCGCAAGAATGAGCCACGCACCAGCACCCGTAAGAGCCGAGAACATAGCCAACATTAATAAATCGGGGTTGTACAAAAAGTAATCCGGGTTAAGAATGTCCTTACGTACAGTGTCAGTCACAGAAGCTCCCATACCAATAACGCCAACCATCTCGCAGACCGCAGCCAACAACACCGCTTGCTTGAGAGTAATAGACTTGGCACCAACCGATGCAGAGAAGGAATTAGCAACATCATTAGCACCGATACCATACGCCATGATAAAGCCCACGATAAAGCCCATGACCACCAACCATAGGAATTCACTCTGGAAGACTGAGAGGTCGCTCGCGTTACCGGCTGGGTTGGCAACACCTTGAACCACCACGACGACTGGGAGAAGTGACGCTGTGCAGAGAATAACTCTCAACATAGTCCCACCACCGGAAGGCTAAGAAGAACTGCAATAAAAACAAAATTGCTCCCACCATACACCACATGAAGATGACCCTAAGCCTCTGTTTCTGAATACGACTTTACTATCACACTAGTAAAAGGCAATACGAGTCGGGGCAGAAATGAAAGCCGTTCACCGAATAGAGGCAGCAACCTAATAACAGTACTAGTACGTACTAACACGGTTATTCGTACAGTGTAAATCTCGCCTGCCCAAAATTTTTTTGCCCGAAACGGCTTAGCTGAGGCTCCCTAACTTCCCATTCTGTCCTACACTCAGGCGCTGTCAGTCAACCCGTGTGAGTGTTACTACTAACAGCAGTTGAATGCCTCTAAACTGTATGCGTGCGAGTGAGATGTATGCGCGGACAATTCGCGTATACATATCTAGTGATGTAATCCTTTTTGAGAATTACCACCATGACCAGGTGACCAACACAACCAGGGAGAGTATAAGAAACACGAATAAACTAATGAACTATCATCTTATAAGAGCCTCCATACATCGTATAACCAAACCAAGCTTCGACAATAACAACTTTTGCGCCTGTAAATATGACGCTCAAGGTGAGAGTGCATTCATCAATACTCACCGTCGTGTCAGAGTCTCGAATATTCTGAACTGCTACAAAGCTGTCAGGAGCCTCCCCCAAGCCCTTCATCTGTTGTACTATTCTACTTAGCCGTTCTATCAGCTCGGGCGTACCTGATACGATTAGTAACAGAAGTAGCAAAGGAGTGGTATCACCACGAATAGAGGAAGTGTTCATGGAAAGGGCCAGCTCGCGTAACCAATCCAATTTGGAGTCGACCACAGCGACACTTATATCACTCCTAGGGGCCTTCAATTGCAACACCAACGCATCAACTGAATATCATTTGTCACTGCCTGACTACTGTCCTTGTCTGACTCACTCAGATCCACTTTGATAAGAGGTCGTGTGGAAAGTGGGACGTTTGTCGTACCGGGTAAAGTATGACTCAACCACATCTCAGGCTGTGAGGAGGTTTTCTCCAACAACTCTTGCAAGACATCATCACTATTCTGCTCATCGACCTACATCATATATCAAAAACAGAAGAGTTAATCAACAAGTAGCGCTCTGCACGCATGCACACGACTTGTACATGCGTGCACGTGAACCAATACCATATCTACTTGTAAAGTATAAGCAACAACCGCCTGGAAAGCCTCGTCCCATTTCCCTTCATCAATCAGTCCCTTCATCTGTCGTCGCACCGCATCGGTTGAACCTGAAAAATGCTCACCCAAGTATTGAACCCGGGTCCCTTACCTGCCAATGTAGGGCTCGAGGGTGCGCTATCCTCTCGACCATTACATACACTCTTAACTCTAATCACCTAAAATGCCGGTACAATGATTCGACCCAGCGACCACCGGTGTGATAGTGCAAACCAATACCGTGACACCAAATCACCACAGATATTAACCCACCTCTTGAAGGTCCCTCATCTGAGCGAGCATCGGCCTTATGACCTGCCCTCTCACTTGCTCGAGTACCTTCATCATCCATATCATGATTCCAACGAGTTGCGGTATGTACTACCTGCTCAGTAATCTCAGCCTCGGATCGACTGGGAAGGTTGGGCGTTAGAGCGCGTGTGTCAAATTGCCTCGCAAAATCCTCGTCCTGAGTAAAACGCCTCCTGCCGGGATCGAACTTGCGCCGATTTCGACACCTTGCCAAGGGCTCGCAACTCCTTAACCGCTTCCGCTAACTTCACATTAATTTCACTACTCGCGAATTGTTGCTTCCTGAAATTGTGAGTGCATTCCGATTCAAAACGTATATAAATTATAAAGTACTACTGCGCCAAGCCCCGGACTCGACTTTCCAAACTCTTGCATTTGTTAGACAACAACGAAATCTAAAAGAAGCCGTGAGAGTTGCATAAAATTCGACACTCAAATTTGTCACTACCGTCTGGCGAGCAGAATCCAATGCTTGACGGAGTTCCTCCACTTGAGCCGTCTGATCCGCAGAAGCCTTCAATCTGAAAACCGACGAAAGGAATCTTAACATCCGACGGGTAAGATACGAACTAGGTCGGAGAAACAACTGTTTACGTGAGAGAATCCACACAATCGAGCATGGCCGGAACCAAACGATGTTTGATCTCGCTCGAAAGGGACTTTTCCAATTCGGTGTCGATCGCGCTCTCTAATGCACTCTTCACCTGAACCGAGGAACTGAGGGGGAATGAGCGTCATCGAGGAATAAAAATATACAAACTGAATTCAGGCGAACACCATCAACTCAGCTTCCCAAGAGTAACAGAGTAGTATTGGCCTGCCAATACTACTCTGTTACTCTTGGGAGGAGACTACTCGGAGCTCTGTAGGCTATAACAAATTACAAAAGCTGTGATAGATGTAATATTCGCATTCCTCGAATAAATGCCAATAATAGACTCCGCACTAGAGTAGTTGCTAATAGTTCTACAATCAGAGATGTACATTACCCTGCCGATTTCAGTGCTACTACCTGTCCACTGGTAACAGCCTCAGAAGTGCCCTTGTCCATAACACTTGCCATCTTCTCAACAAAGGTCTCATTCATGACCATATGCGCTACAGACCGATAAATGGTAGCTTTCATATCACCAACAAGTTCAGATAGATGTTCAATCGCCTGAAAAACAATAAGAAGAACAGCGCGTACACATCCACACTGTGAAGGGGGAATATAAACATGGTCAACTACGTGCGTTGGTGACAATAAAATTTTTTTGGCAAATTCTTATTGGTGTCTATACACTTCTACCCAAATTCGCATATAAACTCCTCTAACTAGTGAGAGAACTCCTGAGCTCAGCTGAGCGGAAGCGAACAGTATTCCTCCGACACCGTCACCTCAGATGAATCCTTTCCAATGATCTCCGGTAGCATCTTCGTTTGGATATCATTCTGTAGGGCAACTCTTATCGCTGTACGCCATAAACATGGAATAAATGTTATGGATACCACACCATGAGAAAGTTCCCGTATTACCAGGTCCATAAAGTTTCAAGGTATCATAACTAAGTGTATCCTCATCAGCCAGATTTGCCGGTCGACCATCGTTAAAGAGCTTCTTGAATGTCGGGTTTGCAGCACCCAACTTTTTATGATGATGACCATGTGAATGATGCTCTGACTCTGACTTCAATGCTGCTTCGGCTTTTATACTGGACATTATCATACGATATACAACTTGAAAATATTTTGTGGAAGAAATCATAGTATGCAAATCACGAATAATAAGTTTACCAACATCCCCAGCCTCTAAAAGGACCGGGGACATCTGGGTTCGATCCCAGCGGCTTGTATTTTGCCGGGCTAATCCCACAACCCAGGAACAGCTGTTGAGTATTCAATCAACAGAGCTCAGCCCACCTCACTATGGCAGCGAATATTCCCCCACGACGCGAGGTGATGCTCTATTGCGGCTCTTCAATGGAGTTAATGCACAGAACTCGTGTAGAGCGGATTCATCGTGTCATCGACCTGGTTTGTTCCGTTGCTATTCGAATGAACTTTATTTCTCTGATAAGCCCGTTGACAGCCATCCTTATTTAATTCATCATCAGCCAATAGGTAACCATATCAGGCTGACATGATTCCTCAAGTTAGAGTGTCGAACTGTAACGATTAGTAATAATCACAGTTCGGAACTGTGTAACCGTCGTCGTCGTCATCGCCTGCTACTACTACTACTACTACTACGTCATGATGTTGTTACTAACATCATAAAGCGCATCTTCGGTCGTTTCTAAAGGCCTACAATCAACAACGAACTTTCCGTTTTTTGACAGTTTTACAACATATAGAACTATCTCCACACAGGCAGCGAATTCATCTTTGAGATCTGCAGACTCTGCCCATCAAGGAAATCATCCGCGTGATCGATTACATGGGCGCGCGCGTTCCACGTTGCATCGACCGTACCCTTTCTCCACACATTGGTGGCAACGATCGTATGATATTATATGAGAGTAGTAGGTTTGAAATATCGTCAGTTGGATGAGGGATGGTATCAGAGAGTATACTGTAAGCAATGTGATTAAGTCGGGGAAATAATTTCGACGTGGAGACGATCCTTCGCCATTATTAATGGCTTCAGCGCAATATCTTATACTGCGGTGTATGTTGCGGTTTCATGGGTATCTTGAGGTTGAGATGGTAAGATACAAAGCAGGTACGAATGAGTAACATTTTAGATAGCGCAATTCGACATAACGTAAAGTGTCATCTCGTCTCACAGGCTAGCTGTCCTCTCCTTAGCTTGCGTCGCTAAATCCATTACATTTCCAACACAAGGACTCTAATCAGCTTGTTTTATCAACGAGTTGCGACATGTCACCTCAACCTTCCCCCACTACGACCTTTGCTGTCGATGACGATGATGATACTCTCTACGACATCATGCAAGAATCTAAGATCTTCCGAGCGCTCCTCCTTGGACATCAAGACGACCAAGAAGCTAAGATTGAATATGATGGTAATAGACTACCTCATTCCGCCTTATTTGAATTTTTCCGTCTCAGAGAGTGACCGCCTGCCGTCATCAGTCCCCTCTTCCCTAATCTTCGTGGACACTATTGACCAACGACCAACCAAGCACCAACGACTCGGATACTCCAACGACTACGATTACATACAAGGTGTCGAGTTGCTCCCTTTGGAGAACTCCTTCATACCAGAAAGTCCACGCCTAAGTTATCTCAGTGAAAGCCTGTCTGACGTCCCCGAGCTATTCTTGCCTCCACTGTGTGAAGAAGAAGATACCCATCACGCACAGCGAAGAAGTGGTTTGAGAAGGGTCGTAGACCGTAGACGGCTGGTCGGCCAGAGACGACGTTTGATCAGAAGCTTAGGGTTGGCTGAGGTCACCAGAGGATCCGAAACGTATGTTTCGGCTTCAACCAAGCGACCAGCGCACAGCGAAGATTATTATTAGTGACGCTAACTATAGGGGAGATATCTTCTGATCGCACTCGGAAGATTTTCAGCACTACTAGGGTTGTAGTAGTGGCAAGGTAGAGGCTGCACTGTACGTCAACAACGTTTCAAAATAGGATGTTTTATTGGGTTTTCACTCTCAATGCAAACAACTGCTCATTAGTGTCCTCTCTATGGGAATCGGATTGGCTCAAGGAAGCTACTCGTGAGCTTCGCTCGCAGTGTGAGGAATCGTGCACATGGCCAACCACGTGTGTTGGTGACAATATCAAAAATTATGATAAAATTCTTATTGCTTCTTGTACAGTCCTACCCGAACTCGTTAGGATATTAAATGGTCAGTGAGGGAACTCGCCGAGTCAGCTGAGGAGGGTGGACGTATATACACTGTTCGCCCGAGTGGGTGTTCATTCCCGGGTTGTTCTTGACGGCTGACCATCCTACTAAACTCCATTTGTATCACTTAAACCGTTAGGTCCTCATCAGTCGGTCTCTCGTCATTGCATGTCCGCTCGCGTATGATCTCGGCTACTAATGGCAGTCGCTGTACTATTGTGGTAGAAGGAATAGCCAAGTTAGGTAAGATATTTAGAAAATCTTCGCTGTGCGGTATAATAAAAGAAAGGAAAATTGCGCTCCTTAGATTGTGCGTTATGTAGCGTAGTTTTGTGCCATACAGGACGACAGTAACGCGGTGTTGATTCGCGTGAGCTACGCTGGCAGATTACATCTATGGCTCTGACTGCCACCCTCACAGGAGGCGCTGGTTGGTGAATACGGTAAGAAGCTATTGCTGATCGATCATTCCGAGGTGTAATGAATGCTCCAGTGTACGATTGTTTGCCGACATACCTCTAGCGAACGATGTGGCCACAATAATGAGAGCATCAATCACAAATTCTTTCACCAATTCAGATCATGATTACGCTATTAGTAATTGTTCTCAGATTAAGCTCAGCACTAATGCTCGAACTAACTGTAAATGTTGAACCCAACAGGTATGAGATGAAGAGACAGTGGTAGAACGTAGAAGCGCATAGATTATAACGTTGGTGAGGAAAGTTGCACGTATGATGATGTACTTATACAGCAGCACCGGCACCAGCGGCCTCCTCTTCATCAAGTAGGGGACTGCGAGCCGCCTTCAATCTGAACAAAAATCATACTCTCGCGCTAGAATTAACAGTGTTGGAGTAGGAATGTATGTTCGCTTCCCACAGCTGAGCTCTGGAGTTTTCTCACCAATTATAAAAACCAACAAGAATTTCCCAAAACTACGTAGTGCATATTTTCCCACACTATAAATGTAACTCACTTTTCCTCCTTCTCGTGCCTTGTGAGGGCCTCCTGAGCACATTTGGTGAAATCACAACGATAGATAATCGCACCGTAACTGACAAGTTCATCCATCAACAGTAACTGGGCAATGGTAATAATGACTTACGCTGAACAGGTGATGGCCATACCAACAACAGAGGCCCACCAGATGCCGGGGACACCCATGGCCGGCAGAGCTCCCCAACCGAACGCGAAGAGATAACTGAATAAACGACAGTGTTGGAATATGCGTTCAGTTTACTCAGCTCCTGAGCTCAGGCGTAAAACAGTAAACGAGAATTTCGTCACTGATGAACATAGTGGAAAGAACTTACCCCAGAGGAAGTCGAATCAAGAGCATAGCGAGCAGCTTATAGGTCGAGGCTCGTCCCTGAATGACAGTAATGACCAACACATACTGTGATACACACATACCTGGAGAGCACATCCTCTGAGGACACCTTCTTGGCAGGCTTGCATGGCGTCAAATATGCAGAATACAGAGACGGCTAGTAGTGCCGGACATAGGATAGAGAGGACCTGAAGGGGTAGTAGTAGTAAAGTGAAGGGGATGGTATACCTATCGTCTTACCGCTGGATCGCGGCTATAGAGGTATGCAACGTAGTAACGGAAGTTGCACATGAGAATAGCAACCACAATAAAGCAGACGAGAGTTCCTCTGATGATCTTATGGTTGAACAGATGAGCCGTACGGACATCACCAGCGCCAAGAGAATTGCCTGAAAATAAGCCGTTCGTATGCTCGTACACATTGTATCAGAGTTCATGAATTTTATACAAGTGCTGAGAGATACCACTGATAGCTTACCAACGAGAGCGCTGGCACTCTGGCTAATACCACACGGGCCCATATAGATGATGGAGACGATGTTAGAGGCGGCCACGTGAGCTGCCAAAGACATCGGGCCAACCCAACCCGCGAATACCGACTAAAGGAGTTCACTGTGCATGAGTGAAGCCAAAGGCGTCTTACCTGAACTTCATAAGCCCACCATTCGCTCCACATAAGGAGGGCAGAGGGGATAGCGAGAGCCACAAACTCCCACAAGTTGTGGAGGCTCTCTGGGGTCCAACCATGGGCATGGGTCTCGGGATGCAATACGGCAGCGTAGAGCTCAAGGAGGATGAATCGACCCCATTGGGTACAGGTCATGGCAATACCAACACCATAGGCGCCGAAGTGGAACCTGAGCCGACCTGTTGATGAATCAAGGGAGGTAGAGGACGAGGAGGAGTACTTGAATAAGAAGAGCCAACAGAAAAGGGCATGGCCACAGCCTGTGATGGCGTTGACATATAGAGGGGCTTCTGGTAGCCTATGGGACCTGTCGAGGGATCGCCAATATTATAGAACATACACGTAGTTATGCATTACCTCAAGAAACTGCACATAGCATTGTACATGAAGAATGGCCAGAGACCCCAGTTCATACCGCGTACGTAACTGAGTAATACTAGAAGTGATGGGATTGAGTGAGTCGTAAGCTTTACTCAGCGGCCAGCTTAGACGTGAGGGGGTCCTGGTTCATCCAGAGGAGGATGGGCTCAGTGTAGAACCTGGGATAGGTAATCTCGTGGCGCGTGACGGAGGAATAGGTGTATTACATGACTATGAAGCAAGGAACGAAGGCAATGGTGCCGACAATACGTGCACGATTGAAGTAGATGAGGCCGAGGTGGGGGTTGCCGGCGCCGACTGCCTGGCTGACTAGAGTGTCAAGGACCTACGACCATCCATTATGGTACGATATGGATCTACCAGGATTCGAACCAGAGTTGGTTGGTGGCAAGATGAGGAGGCTAACCATTCAACCACTTACCGACATGAGACCGACTCCAATACTGAATCCGAACACGTTCTGGATGACCGATCCGAGACCAATGGCGCCAAGCATATTGGAATCATTAGTGGCCGATACAAAGAAGATAGTGATAACGAATATAGAGTACCTGTTCCCGGAAATTCCATACCACTCCTCCCCCAAATCACACGAATATCCCCCAAATCGTACATAACGAGGAAGCTGATCATGTTGGGAATGGCCAACTGCATTATCTGCACGAAGGGGGACTTCTTGTTCGCCTTCTCGAGACGGCTTTCACCAGATGCGGTCATTGGAACTATCTCAGTCGTCAAACTAAGGCGGGAGATATCTTGAGGTTCCCCAAGAAAGATACAAAATAGGTCCGATTGGATCCTCCTGGCCATCATCAAAAAACCCTTGACTAATCGCCCTGCCATCTTGTGACTGTCTATATCCACATGACAACAATAGAATAATAATCTTTCCCAGCTAACCTCATTAGCAGCCCAATTCCGAGAGCATATCGATCAGAATGGCGTGCGCATTTTCATTTCGTGACCACTCGTCAAGGGTATTGAGACAGTTATGGTCGAGGAGTTTTGAGCTACATAGTCTTCTTGGCGTCATGTTACATAGGGAATCTTGAGAGACGATCTGGCAATGATGAGGACCTTCATCCGAGTTTTGTCTCTAGTATATTTTCAAGTATGGTAGAGTTGGAAAGCCTGAATCTTCTGGATGGTATTGAGAAAGTTAAGGCAGACGTATCGGCCTTACCGGGAGCCTTCAAGGCATCAACACAAGAGGTCTACAAACGAGTACGTGTTGCTGCTGAGTCGACTGATCATCAAAGCCGTAAATCAATTATTATATGTACAGTTATTCTCATACTTCTCATATCTGTTTATTCATTCATCTTTGTATTGTCACCAAGCATAACTAGAAATGCCATCAATGAGACCAGATGGTTCGTCAGGCGTTTAGAGGTCGCCAACAAGACCGATTGCAGTCTTCATGAATGGGCCGAATTATGTATGCACGCCGTGATGGATTTGGACATCACTAACAATGCCTTCGTCGGTCTATCTATTATGGGCTCGAGTTTGTCCATGGAAGTACATGGTCGATTGGCGTTAAATCAACTCATGGCCCGACATGAACTTGGGCGGGCGTATTTACCCGAAGTATATCTACCTGCTCATTCTACTACTCAGATAACCTTGAGACAGTTTTGGCCTATCGCTTCGCTGGCCGTGTATTCTCTGCTTCGTGATAGAGTTATGAATGGTATAATTACTGATCTCGAATTTGATGGTTATGTTAATGTACGTCTTCTTGGCGTTGAGAATCGGGATATTCATATTCATCACAAGCGGGCCCGACTCAACATCACGGGTCTCAATCTCGCATTACCAGAGTCTTTGAGAGGCGGAACATAGTTCTTTTATGGTTATCATTCCTTTTTATATGCGCCGCTTGCGTTCATGAGTCAGTCGGAATATGATCAATGAGCGAATGCGTTATCTCTTATGGGGAACTCGACAACTTTCAAAGAAGGCAATCAGTGAACAAATACTTTCATAATTGAGCAGAAGGACGAAGCTTCCATGAGTAAAAAGGTTGTCGGATAAGATCATTCCATGCAGCCCACAATACTTTCAAAAACAGTGAGAATCTTATTAGCATGAAAACGATGCCTGACTTTGATCTCATCACTATCAATACGATTTGCCATTGCATTCATTATCGGATAACACCGTTTCACTGATACGTCGTGGTCATCGATCGCAAATGATTGAAAGCACAAGGACCTTTCAAAAACATCGTACAAGTGCCCTCGGAGACTCTGGATCCGAGTCTTAGCAAACTCCGAGTGGTACTCTTTTCGGTGGAGTTTCTGGGCACATTTTCCGAGCATGTTGTCTGAGCAGTTGCGATATCCGTTCCCCTTTCCGAGTGAAATCGTTCCATTAAAGAATCGTCCAGCTTCACGTTTATACTCACGTTGTACAAATGGCTTTGAGTTGATATACAGTATATCTCCCTTTTCTCTCACAGTCTAGAAGTCATAGAATGCTCGTTAATGATTGAAATAATAGTGAATTGCTTCAGAGCATATACCTGGGCTTAGCCGTTCATATCGGAGGTACTGAGTTCAAGGCCATACTCCTATACTGGTTATCTGCCTGGTGATAGGAGTGCTGCTAAAGGAAAAAGTGAATGACTTTATTGGTACTCTAGGGACTCAGAGACACTACCTACTTTACTGGTACTCCGGAGAGAAGGTAGTACCCTCTTAACCAGCCGGAATATGTTACTGCCCTATTTTGAATTTGTGGAACTGCTCGGATTCCGAGAGCTCACAATACAACTTTCGAATTAGTGTAGTGAAACATAAACGATAGAGCTTCGACTCAGGCGAGTTCACGATATAGCAGTTGGGAGCAAGGTGGAGCACCTGGTATGTATGGTGATGGGAACAGCCGAAAAAGGTTGATCTCGTACATACTGATGAAACTGCCGCATTAGGTCGGGAACTGTACTGTCGGTTGCCAACATCCTGAGGCATCGAGAATGATGTGCGCCATAGCTAATGTTATGATAATCGATCGACTCGCCGCGCTCTGTTGTGGAGGACAGCTCCCTATCTGAGGTTCGTTCTGCAAACAATGTCTTTGAAGGTTGCTGCCGCCTATTGCATGGCCTATGTGGCCGGTCAGGAGTCTCCTAGTGAGGCTGATGTAATATTAGGAAGGGTATCTTGAGGTTCATGCGTATAAGATACGGAATAGGTCCGCAAATGGAACATTTCTGGGGCCGCTATGCCATGCACTCATCCGAATTACTTATTTTTTCGTCAGGTTAAGAAGATTCTCGAGTCCGTGAGTGCCCCCATCGAGGAGGAGCAGATCAAGTCCCTCGTTAGCCAGCTTGATGGTAAAGACATCGCCGCTCTTATTAAGGACGGCAAGGAGAAGCTCTCTTCTTGTGCTGGTGCCGCTCCCGCTGCTGCTGGTAATAACATCTTATGTAGGCTTAGTGTACGAGTGATGAAAAAAGATATACCTTCGTCCTAGCAATATGGCTGCGGACCAATTACCATGCTAATTCTGACGGATCTTTGGTGACGATGACAATGATGAGGAAAATATACAATTGCTTAGCACTCTGTGCTGACTCAAATACTCCATGCTAATACTGAGTCATCCATTTCTGTGCCATTTCATACCGTTCCTTTTCAATTCTTATATTGTTATTATTTCAGGCGCTTCTTCTGGTGCTGCCGCTGCTGCCACCGAGGAGGAGGCCGCTGCTTCTGTCGAGGAAGAGGAGGAAGAGGAAGAGGACATGGGCTTCGACCTCTTCGATTAAGTTTCTTCTAACTAGTCCATTGTCGGCACTAGACGGAGTAGCTTGCAGGAACGGAATCTCTATTGTTGTGTTGGTAGTCTTGTTACAATCAGCCGTGTGGACAATATTAAACCTTATATTCAGCGCTCGTTGTTGATTGCAATTGGTCGAGCAATCGACCCGAGATCGAATCTTGCTGGGGTAGGTTAATTTATTTGCAATTATGGCTGGCAACGACTCGCACTTGTCATTTTCTCTGATAATCGGAAGGGTGAGTTGATTTGCTAGATTTGCGCAGGCTGCTCTCTGTTGGGTTCAGCCGGCTGGTCAGTAAGTACTGCCGTAAAGTGTTAAAGTAACTCGCACTTTTAAAAGCTTATTATTATGACCCTTTCTCACTCGTACTTGTTCGTGGGCAGATTGAAGGTGGAAATCTCGCGCTCATACATGCATTGGATGAACCTATTGCATCTCAGCCTTCAGCCTAATGTTAGTTTCTATGCTTTTGTAAGAGGTCTGCGTTGGAGCCCTCAGCTGACCTATAGCTTCGATGATTGCACCGCTCACATCAGTCTTTAGAAATACTTTCTCGTCCAATCCCCTGTTGAAGTTATCCGCACCGACATCGAGCTTGCCCATGGTATGCCGTGGAAGATCTCGAGGGTGGCGTTAGTATTTTCCAGGGCCGAGTATTTTGTCGAGGCATTGCTACTGCCGTTGGTGCTGTGAAGGAAATAGAGAAGTCTTATTTTCCGCTGAGATGGATGCAACCTCTTGTATCGGAAGGTGTAGGTTAACTTTAGTAAAAAGTAAAAATACCCTCAAAAGTAGTGTTCATCCGCAGACTCAATATATGACTTATGCGAACTCATCCGTTTCTAGTACGGAACGACATGCATATGGTTTTTTCATTGCTTTTTGTACACTTCTTGAGTCGTGTGTAAATTTTCATGGGTAAGCTCTCGAGCTCACCTGAAGAACCCAAACATAGACTCGCACATAGCATAGTTGATGTAATTGGTGAGGTCTCCTCTATTGCTGTATGATCAGGGAATACGTCCTGGCCATCGATTGCAATACGACTCCAATACTCCGATTCATCTCGGTCAGATCCTAGATAGTAAAGGCTCCAGGCAGAAACTAAGGTGATGTGGACTGAACGTGTGTTTCGTGTGATACTGTCATTATAGGGAGATACCTCGACGAAGGGTCATCCAAAGTGAAGGAGCAGAGCACGAGTCGTATACTAGGGTGGCCAGCATACTTAGAGTAATCCCCCCTTATCTAATATGGACGTCCTAGTCACCACGAACGGTAGAGTGAATTTCTGCCGATCATTTTTGATTTCCCCTTACATCGGGTTTTAACGAGCTTACGCCGGTCATCCTTTGGCTCGTTATATGGCGAGTGTTGTTTGATGACATCTAATACATTGTGGAACTATGCATGTTGATGACAAGAGGAAGTTCAGAGTAAATGGAAGGCCAATTGTCGCTGCTTCTGCGTATCCCTCCCCCTTTAGTTATGCATAGATTCCTTTGATGCAGCGAGGGAACTCAACTGAGGAAAGTTTTCATATTATGTTTTCATATTTTTATTATATTTGCGTGTTTTTTGTCAAACTAAATATGCATTTCAACCCTCATTTAACCCGTACAAATATCCTCTGTATTGTACCGTTTTCAGCAAGTCCAGGGGCCCTATGCGCCATTCCAGCATCCCATCAAGCTAAGTGCGGTGGTTTCAGTGATGGATGGTATGAATCAGTCGGAGTACCGGAAAGATATGCAGCAGCGTACTGATGGGAAAAAGAGTATTCCCTATAAGATGTACGTCCATGATGCTTGGTGATCGTCCCTCATCTTGACCCCAGCTCGTGCATGCTGCTGTTTCCGCTACAGTCACTGCAGAGTTCAACTTCACGAGGGGTGTACGTATATAACCTCAGGTTTATTCCTTGATCATTTCTGTTATGTCTGGTCGGAGTTGTACCACTTGCTTTACACATTCAAAGATTCTTCATCTCTTGCAGTTGATAATCGTCATACTATTGGTGGTAGTAGTGGTTCTGGGGACAGTGTAGAACATGCCTTTCCTGAACTACGTATACTAAGTGAAATATTCAGAGGACATTTTAGAGAATTCCGGTTGTCTTGGGTGGTGCATGGTGGGTTTACTCTCATAATATAGAGAACCAAGCATAAGTTCCAACACTGCGTTCTGAGCAGGTGGAGGTCCTATCCCTGTGTTTTTGTAGATAATAGGGTTGGCCTTGGCAGCCGTTCCCATGATTATCTTAGCCCTACTGATGCCCATATGGATTATCATTGGAATTTTATACCAGGCTAGATGGGCCCGGAGCGGCGACGGCGCCATCTTTACTCAAGCCGATCTTGATGGTAGCACAACAGTGACGGTGACATTCAGGAGGGTCCTTTCAGGTTCGGTTTCACTCCGCGCGCCTTTCGGTGAATCGATGCGTGGCCAATTTGGGCTGACGAGACGAGAATCTAATATAGTAATGATGGGATGTTCTTCGCAAGTAGTAAGAATAAACGTAGTTACTTCTGGATACTACGAGTCCTCAACGCCCTATGGTTGAGATTCTGCACGAGATGAATGATGCGGGGTTCGTAGCGGACAGCATTTGTTGCTGTATTTGTTTATCGTCCTACTTGGAAGGGGACGCCAGTGGACGGCGTCTACTCTGTGGCCACGTATTCCATACGAGCTGCATCGATAGCTGGGCAAACAAGCAAGATCATTGTCCGCTATGCCGTGAGGAATTCTCGAAAGGATTCGAACTGCGAGGCACTATTTTCGAATAACAGTACTCCATTTTATGTGATTCAAGTAGCGCCTATTGAAACATCTTTTAAATTTGGATTTTTTCCTCAGCGATTGTCCACTCAGCTTCATGCTTGTTATTTCATTCTCTGCATTTGTTGTATTGTACAGTAGTTGGTCACGGTAAGCATCTGTGTACCCTTCCTTGAGGAGAGTAGTGGAGAGTGATCATGATTGTATTGTAGCTATGTTAGATTTGTAGTAGATAGCGCAATAAGGGCCCTGACCATCTGCCATTAGTTCCCGAGGGTTATGCGGCAAAGTGCCTCGCATCTCCCCATACTTGGTCCACCTGCCCAATCGGCCGTAATTCTGTAGTTAATATCATAGACGTTGAGTGGTAGACTACCACTGGTAGTTAATGACTGCCTTCCCAAAAGGCAGTACACCGCCATCTTACGGAGACCACCCCTGTCTCCTCACCGATGCACCGTCTAAGATTCCCTTCCATGCCATGGGAGCAGGTGTTCTTCTCACTGTGAGAGTTGATGAATTCACTCCAGATGGGGCCGCTATGCCAACACTAGATATGCCTAAGTACGATCGATATCTCTGGGTGGCGCCTCTATGCCATGATTTGGTCACTCAACTCGGCAGGACCTGCCCGGCAGGTCGCGCATGGAAGATCAATCACTCCGAGTGGGGCCGCTATACCAATACTAGATATCCCTTAGTTCGATAAATCTCTCTGGGTGGGGCAGCTATGCCACCCAAAAATACCACTCATTCCCAAACAGCACGGAACATCATTCGAATGGGGAACATCCCGCGTGAAGATTCAGATTAGGCCTCCACAAGGACCCAAAATATTGCACGCATGCGCATTGTCCAGATCCCGGGCTCGGTCGGATCTGGAAGTTAGCGACCGCCCATTGAATCAGAAACGCTTGGTCAACCAGTGGTGATGACAGATATTTGGTTTGGTTTTGATGATCTTTGGGACTCCTGTAGCGTGGTATATAAGCAATTAATGATGAGTTAGTGATAGTGTGCACGCATGAGTCCGTGTTGAGCCGTAGCCATCTGGCTCAAGTTCGTTTTGTTGTAATCTCCACTCTCCCCTCCGTATCGCGTTCCTCAGTGCTGGGAGGTTCAACTAACACATCGCCATCGATAATGAGATCCTGTCCGAAGTGAACACACATGAAGTAAGTGGACACTTGAAGGGACAGAAAAGGAGTTCACTCTATGATGAACGGCTACCTCTGACAATCTATGAAGTAGGAGGCTGATGGGTGATTCATGCGCGTAAGCTTAAAATAGAAGGACAGGTGAGAGCGTGAACGTGCGTGGAACGACCAGTTATAAGATTGCAGATTGAGGATCCGTTCTGAACCAAAATGTGCTGTTTGTAGCCGAACGCTCACCATCAGTTCCCTCCCATTGTGATGTTTAGTAGAACGATAAAGCTCCATCTTTGTAGCAGTTCATTGAGGCTTGATTATGTTATTGCGCGCATCTCGGGGTGACTGTCTCTCGGCTTTAGCTATCCGCGCAATCTGCGTGCATAAAATTTTCTCTGCCGATTCCGATTTCCTCTGTTAACCGCTGATGAAGTACATTGCCCTCCTCCTCGGTAGCTACCTCTCCTTCGTGGCCGGTTTTGAGGGTGCTTATGAGTCCTTCCGTAACGACCCTATCGAGACTTTCAACTTCGAGCCCAACTCTAAGACGGTGCTCATCTCACTCAGAGACTCCCAGGTCACCCTGAAGGCTGCTTACAATCAGGATCAGCAGAAAGTGAGTTTAACCCTTGGAAGAATGGACCTCGAGTACTTGAAGCAGAAGTTCCCCGACTTGGTCGACGATTCCACTTTTGATGATGTGATTCTGCTATCTAACGCCAATTCTATCATCGTCAAATATAAGGATGGGATTACGAAGCTCTACAGTGGCAGTTAGATTCGATCCAACCAGCTAAGGGAAGACACAGAACAGCTCCTCGTGCCTGACTAGCGCTATTTCCGCATTATGTGTTGTTCACTTCCCGTGGTTGATATTTCAGTCGAGTACTCTCATTTTTTCCGTCATCCCACTATGAATTCTCATGGTCAGTTCTGGTGTGAGTCGGTATCATTGATGAAGATTAGACAATATGAAAGGTTTCGTATTGGTCAACGCTCCAGCGTGTGAAGTATGATAACATCATTCAGTTAGTCCTCCACATAACTACCCTGGGATTTCAATACCACTTTTCATTATCATCCTATTGTTCTTTGCACTGAGTTGTGTTGCCACTGAGTGTGAATCCAACAGTGCTAAATCGAGCTTTCATACCATAGACATCGTGAGAAGGAACCTGTAACAGTTTTGGTACTTCATTTCGCGTGGCACGAACGAGATAGTCTTGTGAGTCGATGGAAACGAATAAGGGCGGCTTTGATCGTGTTCAGTTGGATACTCACAACGTCTCTCGTTGACTTCAGCGTAATGAGACTAAATGAGAACGGTTCCGGGCATCTCTTTAATAAAGATGATGTTATAAGAAGTCTTTATAGCATAATCGAGGGAAAACCAAGTATATCAAAAGCATCCTTTTTATGTGAGATAGGGTTGTTAGAATCGAGTCGGTTCAACCGACAACATAAGTTAGAATAGAAAAGACAGCGCCTTTCGGTACTGTTGTCGAATCGACAGTGTTGGAGTGTATGTTTGGTTGCCTCAGCTCAGCCGGTTAGCTTCTAAGGGTAGCATCAAGAAGATTCACACACGACTTATGGTATAAAAACGATTCCAAGTATCCTCTCAGGAATTCCTCATGGTCATCAACACAAGAGGTTCATCATGCGTGTACTTCTCCAAACTGCATATCGATATCAATCTTCCAGGGCTCATCGAGATCAACGCTTAGTACACTCAAATTCTTCATTTTAATGGATTAAACTTAGGTCGCAGGTTCGAACCCCATAGGGTACATTTTTCTGCATATAATTTATCGATCACGCTGCGGGCGCGCTCTATTCTCTCCCATCCACCCCTCCCAATGGCCGCTACTACTACCACATTGCCCTAATCATGGTGCTAATCAGAAAGGAGGACCGTCGTACTGTCTATGAGCATCTCTTCAAGGAGGGCGTCATCGTTGTTGAGAAGAAGCCCACTTTGAAGCATCATCGTCAGATGGAGGTTGCCAACCTTCATGTCATGATGATCATGAAGTCCCTCTCTTCCAGGTAATACCCCCTCACATTACTTATCATCTCTCTACCTTATCCTTTTTCAGAGATCTTGTTGATGAGAAGTTCAACTGGCAGTGGCATTACTATACCCTCAATGATGATGGCATCGAGTATCTTCGTCAATACCTCCACCTTCCCTGTACTACTAACGTGACTATTCTATCCTTCATAATTGACTACTGATCAGGCCACCGCTTTCCCCGATACCATGACCAAGCAGCGCCCTACTCGTGCTATTGGTGGTGACGATGAGGAGCGTAAGCCCCGTCGTGACTGGGGTGGCAACAAGTGGGGTCAGCAGCAACAGAAGCCTGTCGAGGCCTAAAGCGGGTTTAGGATGATGATTAAGGCTCGGTGCGGTTGAACGCCTATTTATCATCGTGTTGTGTTTAGTGAAAACCATAGTATGTTTGAGGGAAATTTCAACCATAGTTTCTTTGGGAGCGCGCGATGAAATTCAGGTTGCCGCCGTAGTGTTGAACATGTGTGCCTTTATAGAGTCGAGCTGTTTCACCAGTCAAGAATATTCTGTGTCTCGGGCAATCAGAACGTGTGAATGAGTAGAGTTGACAGGAAATGATGGATTTCCGAGTAGCATACCATCTGGCATTAATATTGAAATCAACATCATTATCAGCCCTTTTTAAATGATGTATTTTTGATCGATATCATTTATATAATGAATTCTTTATATTAGTGAAATTGAGATCAGTTTAGGTATAGCTATTTGTACACCATTGTGTATGTCGTACAAGTGGGTGTTATACCTTGGTAGTGATTATTGACGCTAGGAGGCAATACGGTTGGTTATTGACAACAAGGCATGCAGGGAGTGTCCTGTTAGGGGAGAATGCTCCCTTGTCTCGGGCAAGCATAGGAATGAGCTTATTCAACAGGAAAATTACGAGTTTCCCGTGTAGTACGGAATTATGGTATGAGTTTTGTAACTTCCGGAAGGCCCCTAGGTGCACTACATTGATAGTAATCATTGATTTTGAGAGGATAAACAACTAGTAACGGTGGGTTCGCGTGGACGAGTCCAACCAGCTCAACCGAAATGCACAAACTTTTCATATGACATCACCAGATCGATTGCCTGATATACACATTGAAATTGACTGCTGACGATAGACATGATAACCATGTGTTAGGAAACCCGGCTAACTCGCTAGTCGGGGGTATCAAAGTGTTCCACGATACCGATCATGTGCTGTCGGAGGTATCTAGTATTTTATGGTTCATTTATCGACAAAAGGAAGGCGGTTCTGCATTCCTACTCTACCCAACAGGATAGGCCTTGAGAGGCGTATCCAATTCTTCATTGAGTGTGTTCCACATGAAACGGTTCATGCAAGATGTGGATGAAGATACTCATACAAATACGTAACGTGCGCAACCAGGAAGGGAGATCCTCCACTGGGCTCATAGACTCCAGATGAAAATATAAGTTGTAACTCATCGTCACGAGTAAATCCTCCACAGGTGAAATCCTGTAAGAAAAAGTCGCGAATAGTTTGGTATTCACCATTCTCTTTAAACAAATTTTGTTCCGAAAGAATTGCGAGGAAGTTACTACGCTCTTTGCTCAACACAGGGGTCAGTAAATACAGGAACCGCTTTGAGTTGGTTATCCAGTAAGATGTATACTTCCCCGAAACGTGACGAGGGCATCTCAAATGTTATCAACAAGTCTTTTGACGAGGCAGAGGTCGATCTAATGAGAGCCCACTTCTTCAGACGGGTGAGTCTTGGCCACTGAAGGAACACACTATGTTCGCTTCCCTCAGCTGAGTTCCTAATTGTAGAAGCTTGTAGAGATAGGAGTGCGGAGAAACCAACAAGAATTTCCCGAAATTCCATCAAAATTCCCATATTGTCTTGACCATGTGCATATATTCTCACACTGGTTGTCACAATGGTGTTCTCGATGTCACGACAGGCCTGTTCAGAGTAAACGGCAAGGGGTATGCACTGCAGCTGATATCCCATCACTGCTGCGGTGCTGTGGCTTCGCACCTTCCAAAAGAGTGTTGACATTATATCAAGTGGGTCTTCATAATGAGCTCAATACCTTCAGTTCATTCTGGGAAGCGATACGCCCCGTTTCCATTTGCATGTTTATCAAAATCCGTCAACTCGAAATTAAAATTGGTCGGCCGAGTTGATCTCCCTTCCTCACCAATCTCCGATCGATGCATCGTTTTCTCTATTCTTTATCATACTCATGCTGTCTGATCGACCATGCGGTGAAAGGTGAATACCTAATACCTACCTGAATACCAATAAGGTGAAACCTATAGCGTATTTTACTTTTGTCGAAGTTAGTAAATCATCATGGCACAAGTTACATATTAGATGTATACATCTCGAGTCACCTCTGCACATTTCAGAAAGAGATCGACGACGCTGGTGGACTCGTGTCGTTCGGCACATTTCTCGACTATTGTTGCCGATGTCGAGACGCCATGTCAGAGGTTACTCAGACCGATTTGGTTAGTTTCGGTAAATCTTTGGGAAGTGCGGGGATGCATGGGAAATTATCTGCGAAAACTCTGAGGTGAGATGATTCCTCCAACATCTTCATTATTGATATCAATCTTTCTAGGAACCTCCTAATGCATGTTGGAGAACCGTTAAGTTCTGAGGAGCTGAAAAACTTCTTTAAGGACTTCGCCGTTGATGAGGACGGTCTAGTGAATTACGAGCATATAATAAATACGTGAGTAACAGTCGTGCTTTTGAGAATGATCATGGATGACATAATGAATAATGACGTTACGTATATCCTTCGTCAGAATCCTTTAGCACTGTCCCCACACGTTTCTATATGCGACATGCTCAAGAACTTGTGATGACGACCGACATGATTGTTGTGCGAGTCTTCAATATGAAAATTTCACTCGCGGGGCTTCTTGTTCGGTACATCGTCGAGATTCATGGCTCGTATGTTTTCTTGACTTAGGGCTTCAATGATTTGTAGTGCTAGCGGCGAATCAACAAGTCAAATCCAACTTCGTGTTGGAGAAGCACGGGCCTTGCCGCCGATCATCCTTGTTCGTAGATTCATCCAATTCACAAACCGAGAATTGGCCAATATGCAATTTTCAGTTATCTCCATTAGCCCTGTAACGCGATGATCGAACATCGTGATAATCCATCAACACATAATAACAACATGATCTGGATGAGGCAACACTTAACATCTTGCAACAGGATATCACTAAGAATCATTTGATAGACGAAATCTGAATACCACTCTACTCCTCAGTGAAGCTCTTGAGCCAATCTTTTGGCGCGTATTTTAGCAAGCGATCCATAAAAAATCTTCGGTCGTTGAAGAATTGGTCAAGCCATAGAGTATTAGGTTTATAATCAGCTGGAGGATTCTGATCGATATAGGTAGCCATCTCGGTGCAGGTAGGCTTCTGGTCAATCAATGATACGAGACCAGGCATGATGTCCATGAACGGGTTAACCATCGTGAAGTACGTCCCACTCTTTTCGGCTGAGTCCGCTCTGTCAATATACGTACCGTCGGCGTCAGGCCCAAGGCGAAACCTCCAACTTCCATCGCCGTATAACCTGAAGAGAATATAATCGATCGAATTGTTCAATATAGGGCATGATACTTATATTCAGCTCTGAATTCTTTCCCATCATCATCAGTGACAGCTGCTTTGATAGAATGAGAGTTTCCCTCGGACTTTTCGGTAGTGACGGTGACATTCTCGTATTTGATGAGGCACTGCATACTCTCAACTGCTCCCACCTGCTTGATCGAATCGGCTAAAGGCTGAATCTGAGGACCTCGGGAAATAATGTATACATAGTATGCTCTACAACGCAGTGCAGGATCGATGATTATGTGTAGTGACTACACATGATCGACTGATTCTAATCCCTGGATGCGATGCTAATTGCAAGGCGGATCCTTAGAGGAGTTGACAACCAACAATACTCCTCTGTGAAGGAGGAAAGTAGATAGGGTCTCACCTCGTGGTGGGACACACTCCCGATGGTTCGGAGAGCTGTCACTGGGATTGACAGTGACATCCAAGCTATGATCGCGGTGCGCATGATGAAGGATGAGGAGAAGTTGAAATCCTGAACTATTGGAGAAGCTTCGTCGAGTCGCCATTCAAGATATGTGAGGGTATCACATATCATGTGGCTGAAGGTTATCGGAGGAGTGGTATCATTCGTGCAATAAGAGACTGTTTCTCCGCTCGGAAGTTTTAGTTTGGGCCAAGTCGGAAAACCAGATCGTGCCCGAAGATCCAGCCACTTTTGTACCAATCCATTTTTGAACCAATCCAAGTAGCGCCCGCCCCTCTCTAAAAAGCTTCCCTTCGGGAAGCGCTTCGCTCCGCGAACCACTTTCGTACCATAATCGTCCCTATTTCGGAGATTTTCTCTCAAATGTGGGGAAAAGTGGGTTAAGTACCACTCCTTCGGGAATCGACCGAACTTAGGACTGTCGCACGCTGATGTGGCGTATGTAGATTATAAATCGCGTGGTGCTTGGACATCTGACGGGGCCCGAATATGGATTCCCTCACGATGGATTCTTCGTACAAGCTATGCGTCAACTCTACGGCTCACGTGAAGTCCTGAATGTTGCAGTGCAACAACAAGAATACGGGAGCAATACCTGTGGACTCCACGCGGTAGCTAGATTGACCGAAGTGGTGCTGAATAGGCAGTGGTTCACTCTCACGGTGTTCGAAGAAAGCCGGATGCGTTACCATGCTGCGCAGTGCATCTCCAGCGGTCGGGTGTTACGTTTCCCGGAAGTATTCCCGGCCCCTCCTACTAGGAGGCTCCTAGCATGGCCTTTGGGCCAGAAGGGAGGATAGTAATTTAAGTGGGTTTTTTTTATCTTGGAGTATTGTACATGTTTTTAAATATAAAAATAGTGGGGTTGAGTTGAGGCTCAACTGTTGAGCCGAAGTGCTTTAAGGGGATGAGTATTAAATGTAAGATACAAAACGCGATACGGAGAAATGGAGTCCCGAGTCCGAAGTTAGTTCGTACAAAATAGTATTCTACCGGTATCGACCCCACAACCTCGCGTTACTTGCCTCACATGCCTAACCGACACACCATTCTGCCGTGAGCAAGATGCTGTGCAGTCAACGGGCTCCACAATTATCGCACGAACAACCGGGTTGTTACAACCCCACGAGTGTGTACGAAAAGCTGGAGAACCCGTAAAACTAAGTAGTGCGGCTTCGGACGGATAACCACAGTCAGGCGAGTCAGGTGCAAGTACGATAAGGTAATGATGAACACCCCCTCGTGTTACAAAGTCAGGAAGGTTCGGTGTCGAGTGGTATAGTTGTTAAGCGCTCGCCCATTTGGTACAGAAGTGGACAAATTCCCCAGTATAAAATTTAGTACAACACAATCGTCGGTGTGTGAGCTTGTCACGAATTCGGGTTTTTTTACACCACCAAAAACGTTTGGTTCAAAAGTGGATTGGTACAAAAGTGGAGACACGTGCCCGAAGGACTTGCTGAAGGCAAGTGAACTCCTACTAGGAATTTCCTGGCGAATAGTAGCAATTCAGGAAAGTTTTGCTCGTGTGATGCATCTTCGTCGTTGATTTGGAAATCAACCTAGTTGGAACCAGGAAGGATCCTTCGCCGAGTGCGTCATCCGCTGTAAACGGAGTTATAGTATAATCCTGATCACTTAAGGGGGCTCCACCTATGTTTGTATGATTGTTATACAGCGGCTTCCCGCAGGGTGAGCGATACGAGATATGCTCAATTCAGTGATTTGAATCATCACAGACAATCACCGTGTACCAACCATGATCGTGACATTGTAGTGAATCAAGCCGAACTCAAGTAGTATACTTGGATAAAAGTAGTAGGTTTATGAGTACACCTCACTTAGCAAGAACCTTATCGTGCCCTAGCGTCACGCTAAAATGACACAGCTAATACAAAGACAAATAGTTGTGATACAGGGATAATCTCTACACATATGACTCGTTGAGCGGCCTTGGATTACCGCCCTTTTTCCTGAACAACAGGGGACAGAATGTGATGGGTCACATACCGTAGCAGCCTCAACTAGTTAATGCAACATGTTCTCGTATCAGGCTGCGGCCCATGTAACGGTACATTCCGACTTCCTGTTCTTGGCTGCTCTAAGAGTGTCCTCCTTCGACACCTATCATACCTTTTCTCGAGCCCCGGGGGGCCCTGGCTACTTGCCATAGTACGAAAGAGGACCCTCGAGGAGTCGGGATGCGGATGGTTTGGTGACATAACACAATTATTTATATCTTGGATTCAATACATGAGGACATCACGTCATATAACATCAATGAAATTAATCTGATGAATATTCTAATAATGTTCATCACCAATCCTCAGTTCCACCTGACACCATCTGATCCTAATCGACTTTAATTCTTCTGATAAAGTCAATGGTCTCTTGAGGGAGTGGACTTCCCCATGGTTTGCCATCAATAAAGACTGCTACTTGGCGGCATCCAGATTCCTTTCTGAGCGAATCAACTACATCGGAAATTATCTTGCAGAAAGGGTTTTCCTCTTTCCAAAAAAGGCACGCGCCCCTCGCCCTGTGTGTCTTGCGGTCATCAATCACAGCCTCGGCAAAAGCTGCTGTATTCTTCGGAGCGCCACCATCAGTGTCACTATATTTACTTATAGTCATATCCGTATTGCCATAATTAATAAGGCATCTTCCATCGTCATCATCCTCGGCACCGGCTGGCTGGACCTGCAGACGGAAATAATTCTGAGTTATTGAAGTGCATTCTGACCAGTCGCGATTCTTTTTATGACATTCCTACAATTCAATGAAATGTAGAGTTGAAGTGCTACGAGTGCCGCAAACTAGTATTCTAAATCGAAATATGGTAGATAAAACATTCGATTGGGTTGAAGGGAAATACCGCGAGATCGCTGAAGCAGGAGAAAGTGTGAAAGGCAGGTTACTCGATAACAGCTAATCGTCGCTCGAATATCCATATTCTTAATGATTCAGATCAGTTCGGACCGAACTTATTTATTATGTTATCACCCTAGTGATATGAAGAACACTAGTGTAGGACATCTTTCACGACTACAGCATATCACCGCGAATATAGAGTATTACGCCACTCCACGTGAAACGGGTGAAACTCCATTATTCTATCAACTATCGAGTGTGCTCATCTCGGAACATAAGTTTGGATGATGCTACATCCCTACGTCGTGAGGGTAGGTGTTGATGGTGTGTAGGGCTGAGGCATACAATAACGGCATACAATATATTATCGAGGTTAACATTTTCGAGACGGGGAATTACTGAGGAAAGATCACAATCTCGTACACAGGCTGTGCTGATCTTCGTGGGTAGACATGTGTTATAGAACTCAAATCCCCAGAGTTGGGTGAAGATCTCAATAGTATTAATTATTGATGACTGATTAGCAGCCGTTTCATTATCATCATGGGCGTGCGGTACGATAGATACTTGGGCAATCTGAGGACAAGGCAGAAATGATGACAGGTTAAAAGGTGGCGTGTTCAATTGACGAGCGGCGCTTCTGAGCTTCAAGAACGTTTCCAGAATTGATAAAACTCGATCTCGATCATCAGGAGAGGTCTATTGAGCATCCCGACAGTTTTTGTAGTGGCGGCCGAGAAAGTCGAGTTGTGCTCGAGAGACTGACAAGTGACAGTGGTAGGTGCAGTCGTAAGAGAAAACTTGAGAAGCTCTGTAGGCTTGAAAACACTGGGCGCGCGCGACTTTTAGTGATTTAGAAGACCCACTTTAGTGACACCGTCTGGTTGCCCCGGCAGTAGTCTATGGTGCAATAATGATGATGAATCACTGGAGAGAATGATGAATATAACAAAGGGAAGAAGTTACATTTCAGCTGTAGCACTGAAAATGCACAGACGATTATAGATGTGATAAATGTTCCGATTTGGGGATATTTTACCTGCTCATAAACAGCGCGTTTACCGTTTTGTGGCGCGCAGTAATATAATTTCCTATTCCACTGCTACTTCATAATGACTCATGTAATAACGACGATTATTAAGCATCTCACGTAACGCTCGGATGCAGGCCAAACCTCCGAGGGTTGATTGGGAGATCCCCAGTAGCTACGATATTCGGC